TAAAGTTTGGCCAACTCATCTTTTTTCTGTTGTGGGGCTGCAAATAGTTTAGTTCTATTGCGCCCAGGGTTAGGACGATTAGATTGTGCGTTGAATCGCCTTCGTTTAGAAAGTGTATCTCGTATTGTTGATCAACGTTGTGTAGGATTGCAATATCGAGATTTGTAGGGAGTTGTCCGTGAAAACAGGTCGGCTTTGTATGTCCGATCACGTAGGTGTTATGTCTATTTTCGAGATGGCCGCAAAGTCGTCTACCGTTGTTGTTGGTCGCTCTATCGAACTAGTTGGGAGATCTCGCATTCAGGTCTCCTATAATTATTGTAGGCTCTTCTGAGTTGAGGATTAGGCTCAAAGTTGGGACTCATGGTGGCATCTCATTTTTTTAAATGGCAAGGCAGGAAAACATACATATTTTTAAACTTCATCTCCCACACCAGCCACATCCTTCAACCAATGGACACCAGTGTGTTCTCGCTTTTAAAAATAAAATACGAGGAAGAACTCATTAAGTGGCAACGAAAGATTTATAAATATAAACTTCCCAATTCCTTTTTTCCTGCTATAATGTCCAACATTTTTGAAAGTATATATCCAGTTATTATTAATCATGAATTTCAAAAGGATAGAATTTTTCCATTTTGCGACGCCGTAATACCCATTGAAAGTTATGAACCACAAGCAAATAAACGTTGATGCACTTTTCAAGAACTTCAGACAGATGTAACTTCATCCACTCATAATGCAGCAAATCAAACTCAAACAGTCGTAGTATCCACAACAACCACAATTGCATACGAAGTCAGTGTGTCTGACGGCAAAGCCTTAATATATTCTAACCATCGGTAAAAAAGTTTGAAGAGTTGCTTCTATAGAAAATAAAACAAACACCAGAATATCACCGAAAGAAAAATAATCTGCGCTGGAGCTGAAGTTATTAAAATAAAAAAGATTTCAAAAAAATGTTGAGGATAATGGTAGCGAAGATGACGAGTCAGAAAAAGAGAATATTTAATTTATCAAACAAAAACAAAAAAAAAGAAATAAAAAAAATTAAAAAGTCTGATTCATTCATATGTTTGTGTAGCAGTTAGTTTATGTCTCTTAAGTAATCTTGGCAAAAAAAGTCAGATTTAGAGACATATTTTTTGGGCAATGTACACCAGAAACTATTGAAATTCAAGGTTTCACTTACCTTGGTGTAACTTAATACAAATAGAAAAGGAACACAATACACACTCTATTCCTCAGTATAATACATGATACCTTAATAAAAAAAAGGTATGAGATAATGCAAGCAAGCGGTAAATGTTACCTTATAGGAAGTAAAGGAATGGAGGTGCAATGTTAAGGTGCAGTTCATTTGAAGGTTTCAATTTACAAAAAAAACCCTCTGTGGTAAGAGCGCCTACCTTTAAACCTAAAGGTCGTGAGTTCGAATCTCACCTGGGTGGAGAAATTTTCGTTTATTAAAAATTAATGAATGAAAATAATTTCTATCCTTGTGCGATTGGTACTCACCGGAGGGACCGCAGACGTTCGGATACAATTAGCGTCTCTTAGTAAAGACCATGAAGTCGACTTTGCTAAGTATCAAGACAATTACTCTACGCACACATACACACACACTACACTAGGTACCTGACTGCACCATGCCAATGGCCATTAGTTGTCGAAGCATTAACTCAATAAAAAAAAATCCAAAATAAATGTATTTTTAAATAAAATTGTCGTCAATTTCCATTAAAATCGTAAATAATGTTGTATTTATAGTATAGTTGTCTAAAATGTGCTAAAATTAATATCGATTAAATTTAAATTTAATGCAATAATGAAAAAGCACGTGCCAACTTCGTGAAAATGAAAAAGATTTTATGCAGCAAAGATCTGACATTAGCCCTCAGAATAAGGCTAATTAACACATTCGCGACCAACCTATTTATAGGTCTGTCCAGTCAAACTGATTTTGGTTAAACATGAAAGAAACATGCCAAATCCGCCATTTTTGGGGATGAGTATTATGATTGAACAAGGATTATAAAAAAAATGTTTTGCATAATGTCACACATATGTGACACTGGTCTGTAGTAATAAAAATTTGAACATAACCCAAATGTCACAAATATGTGACATAAACATTTTTAGCTACTACTTATAAAAAATCATTTATTTTTTCAATATCAACAAAACTAAAAATTACTTCCAATAAAAAATGAAACATATTGTATAAGTTTAATTGTCTTTTCTGTGCCACTTAGCAAAACAGGGTGTAACACATAACCCAATGGGCTGTTCATCACTCCCCTTACATTCCTGGCATGTGTACCAGGTGACAGCCCTTTTCTTGGTTGCACTGCACTGTCGACATCTTTTCCGCTTATTCTCTTTTTTCAAGTTGTGTGCCGCAACAACTTTTTTTTGCTTGGCCGTTCTGTTTGTCCCAGTAAATGTTTGATCACTGTCTCTCTAAACTGAAGGTACGACATTCTTGTTGTCTTTGACGTGTTCCTATTTTTATTCAACAACTAGTTGCCATTCCACATGCAACTATCTAGTAAGTGAAAAAAAACTTTCATGTACCATCTCAGAGTTTTTCGTGGTGTGCCATAATATGAAGTCATCTGGTCAAATCTTGATACAAAGGAATTGTAGTCACGAATCATTACTGGCTTCAACTTTTTCTGTCCTCTACGATTTTCAACTTCAACCATTTCGGAACCATGCTTCGATGAAATCATTATTACATTTCTGTTATCTTTCCATTTTAATACTATGATTGGACCTCTTCTTTGCCATACGACTTCTCCTTTCTTTAATTTTTTTGTAATAACACTGTTTGGGTTACTTTTTCTATTTTTTCTTAATGTTCCATAAACGTAGGTCTTTTTTTCATGTAAAAACTTGGCAAGCTCATAACTGTTATAATAATTGTCCATGTAGATAGTGTTCCAGTTCTCTAAATATTCAGTAACAAGTGTGTGAACTACTTCAAACGCATGCCCATTTTCATTTACCACTGTCCCCTTGCCGCTGTAGATTAGGAAATTTAGTAAAAATCCATCAGAGCTAGTAATCTCATAAATTTTTATTCCATATTTACTAGTTTTTTTTTGGCATATACTGTCGGAATATTAACCGCCCTCTCCACAGCAAGAGGGCTTCGTCAAGACTTAAGTTCTCTCCTGGATAGTAAACTTTAGAGATATTATTTATAATATGGCTCGTAACATTTTTAATTTTGTAAAGCCGATCTTGAACTTCTACGTCTTCCGGCTTGTAAAAACAAATGTTTTGAAGAATAGCTTCAAACTTTGATCTGGGCATAGTTTTTCCAAATATTGAAAAGTGATATAGTGGATCTGTGCTCCAGTATAAACGTAAGGAGGGGAGTTTAATGTTTCCCATTAATATGCAGAGACCCAAAAATTTTTTTAAGTCGTCAATATTTATATCCATCCAGCGTCTTAAAAAGGAATATTTTTTTAAAGTAGGGTTTTCTTTGCTTGAAGGAGCTCTGTGATTTGTCCACTCTACGATTTTTATCTAAAGCTCTTCATCAAATAGAAATGAAAAATATTGTATAGGTGTTGCATTTCTACTTTTATATTTTCTTGTTTAGTAAACTGATGTATCTCAATATTTTCCTCTACATCAAGCCAGTTCGCCTCATCATTTTTTTGTACCACATTTTTATTTGCATCATTCGCTTCGCCCTCATGATTACTCAACTCACCGCCGTCATTGCTCGACTCTCCCCCATCATTGCTAGTATCCTCAGTCTCTCTTCCAGAATGAGAAGGAGAATATTCACTTCCACTAGAATAAAACATTTCATCATTATGGTCCTCCTCGAATTCATATTCAATATTTTCGGCATTTCTGTACTCACTAACTTCCCTACTAGCCATCTCGGCCTCTAATTGAAGGTCTCGTGTACTTAGATGTCGTTTTGACATTGTTAATACGTCAAAAATAAATAATAAGTGTATACACGGTGTATAAATAAGTTATACTTTTATATTACCTTTCTAAATTATACACAATTACGATACTTTTCGTATTGGACGTTTACATTTTATAAATTTACGTTCCATTAATTTACAGGTTATTTCTTCTTTTTTTAAACGTCCAAATCACAACCCAGCCATAGCGTGTGAAAGAAGGAATGTTTAGGTGGACTGTGGCCAAATTTAAACCCACTGTTATAAACCGTGGTAAAATTATTTTACATTTCATCACGTAAGTTCGGTGTCACACATATGTGTCAGCAGTCCTTACGAAGACGTGTGTGACGGTTGGTCGCGAATGTGTTAAATGCTATGTACACAGTGTACTCTACTATGGAGCCGAATCATGAACATTTAACCGGAATACAATAAATCGACTTGGACAGTGGACTGTGGACATTTAGAAGATTGTTAAGGATTTCATGGGTAGATAGAGTCACGAATGCAGAAGTGTTAAGGAGAATAGGCAGAAAGGGGCAAATGGAAAATACAATAAAAGAAAGGAAATTGCAATATCTCGGACATGTAATGGGAGGCGAAAGATTCAACATCTTGAGACTTATAATTCGAGGAAAAATAGAGAGTAGAAGAAGCGTAGGAAGAAGACGCGTTTCCTGGTTGAAGAACCTGAGAGAGTGGTTTGGTTGCAGCTCAAGGAAATTGTTCAGAGCAGCTGCCTCGAAGGTCAGAATAGCCATGATGATTGCCAACCTTCGTCGCAGAGATGGCATTTAAAGAAGAAAAGGAAAAAGAAGAAATTCAAATTGTTTACAAAAATAATCTTATATGTCGTGCATACTACAAAAAATATATACTGTATAGCAATTTTGTGCATACAAGTAGATATAATATATTGGGGATTTGTTTGAGTGTGTGTATTTAAACTAAAAGCTGAAAATTGGAAGTGCAAACATAATTAAAGATTTCATACTCACATTTATATGGTTTTATTGTTTTAACAGAATAAAGATAAAACAATTTCAAATATAATATTACCTTGGCCAAGATATTGAAAACCTATAAAAGTCCGCGCCAAGATCCGCTAAGAGTTTAACGTCTTCTTTATATTTATGGTAGGAATCACAAGCTATATCCGCTGTATCATTATTATTTATCGGGGAGGGCACTCGATGGCTATATTCATCCCACATACTTTCCCCTTTACCATCTTCGTTCCATGCACCTTCGATTTGAAAAGAAGAGGTAGCTACTCCAAACAAAAAGTTAGAAGGGAAGGTCCCATTATTTTTCGCATCACAAAATCTGTAAAATAATGTAATTCCTGATTATTACCGCGTTTACGATCCAAATTTACATATATATTATATATATATATATATATATATATATTATATATATATATATATATATATTGTTATGCTATGTAAAATTGAAAATAATATTGGTTTGCTTAACATATTTCAAAGTACAAAATATAATAATTCAAATAATTCGACTAATAAACTATAAAGATATTTCAAAGAAATGAAAGTCCATTATCCTGGAATACCTGTAGTAAACAAAATTTTAAAGATATGCATAAATTATTTTCTTTGCAAAGTGACATGAGCGAGCTTAAGTGAAATCATAAACAATGCGAGCAGGTTTTCCAAATGAACTTGTACAGTGAATAAGACAATACAATAGATATTTAGAAAATATATTTCTCTGTTAGTTCTTAAGGATTTGTACAAACCGATTAGCATGTTAATAGTTTTTAGGAAATTTATAATTGTAGGTAAAATTGTGTTTTGTTATCTAAATGAACAGATGGGGATACGTATGACGAGCTTTGATTGAAGGAGATTGAAAAAAATGGGATGGTTTGTAAGAATAAGAGTTTAGCTAGATTTTTGAGGAAGAAAAGATAATCAGTTGTTTTTCAAGGGTGCAGGGCGAACAGTCGTTGTTCTCTGGTGGTTCCCCAGAAGTAGGAAGCAGTAGAAGTGAATGTTTGTGAGTTTTCGTGGAGTTAGTGTATTTGACAGAAGCTGTTCCAGTAAAATATTGTAAGTTATAATTTTCTACTTATATTCCAAGAGTCACTGTTCAGGCCAGAACGAGAAATTCAGTTTATCGAGAGGAGAAGTGGCTAGCATCATTTGAACGATACGTGCATTTGAAGGAGATCATTAAAGACGCAACAATTTGTTGTAAGATTGCTGATTACCTAGGGGACTGCTAAGAATAGATAGTGTATGCTACAAGGAACAAGGATTTAGACAACTCATCATCATAGAGATAGTTTTACTATTCATCAGTTTTTCCTTATAAACAAAACAATTTCTACAATTGCTTTAGAAAAGATAGGAATATTTTTATTAGGAGATTTTGAACAACAATTTTGAAGGTTAACGTACGTAGAACAAAATTTTGATAATCATTATATGAGATATTTTTATTGAAGATATTTGAGTGTGAATTTTATTTTAATATATTTTTATTTCAATATATAATGTATAATATAATGTTTTTATTATTCCGGTATTCTTTGGACCTTACCTATTATATATAAAGCATAGATATTGAATTAAATAGTGTGATAGAACCTTAACTGCATCATTTAAATAAGTTTAATTGATTAATTTTAATTAATTAGTTTATTAGGTTTATTTAACAGTTTATTAGGTTTGCAGTCAGAAAATTGGCCGGGATGTTAAAAAACACTCTTTTGTCTTTTTGTCTAGCTTTCGGAATGGTTTTATTTCTTTTTTAAGACACTGTAACAAGAAAGATATGTAAATATTTACAAGATATCATAATTCTTCAGTGTAACTTATAAAAGTCGTTGAGATTTTTTTTTATTTTTATTTATCCGCATCAACCACTAGGGTTATTAGCGGTAGGTTTATGATACAAATAGAGAAAATAAGATACATTTTAAAAGTCATGACTTTTACATGTATGTAAATGTAACAAAAATTAAATCACAATTTATTATAGAGTTTACAGTATTTTAAAAAAGACAGAACTTTATTGAATTTTATAACCAGTGCTTCTTTCAGGCTGAGGTGTACTCTGGACATTCTATTACTATATGGTTGAATGTGCAAGGTGTTTGGCATCTTTGGCACATTGGTAGTGGTTCTTTAGAGATTATGTAGCCGTGCGTAAGTCGTGTATGCCTAAGTCGGAGTCTGCTCATAATTACCTGGTCTTTTCGTTTTGGTGGACTAGGAAGATTTTTTGAAGATACGTCTGGTTTGATATTTTTAAGATTTGTGTTTGTTTGATCCCGTATTTCTTGCCAGATTTTATTTATATTAGTCTTAAATAAAGTCTTAGTATCTGATATTGGTATACCTGTTGTAGTCGGAATGTTCACATTGTTTATTGCTTTAAACGCTGTTTTGTCTGCTAGCTCATTACCAGTTATTCCGACATGGGATGGGACCCACATAAATAATATAATTTTCCCAGAAAATTGGAGCTGTTGCAACGCGTCCTTAATTAGGAATAGATTGATGTGTGTAGGATAAACATGTTTAATGGCCTGTAAAGAGCTTAATGAATCTGATAATATTAGTATTTGTTTTTCGTTTCTTGGTTTACAATGATTTAGTGCGTCAAGTATTGCTTGGAGCTCTGCGGTATACATACTACAGCCGTGAGTTAATCTGGTGGCAGAAATTACGTATTCTAATACAGTAGCAGCTGCTACTCCATTGCAAGCTTTGTGGAAATTTTTAAGTGGAATATTTGAGTAAATTTGTATGATACTGAAGCCTGATCTTAGCAGAAATGTGCGAATGCTTATCATGATTAAGTAAGGTGAGGTCTATTATTGGTAAAGAAACTGTCCAGGGAGGTGTCTCGTATATTTTTGATGGGTGCCAATAGGGTGAGAACATCCTACTGTGAAAATTACGAGATGATTCTCCTATGTAAAGTTTGTTACAATTGGTACACGGTATAGAATAAACAACATTCGATGACTCCTGCATTGTGAAAGGATCTTTTGTTTTTGTGTATAACTTCGATACCGTTTTCACATTTTTAGTTATAATTTTTAAGCCACTAACATTTTTGAAAATGTTTATTAGCTTAGGTGTCAGAACTGGAATGTAGGGTAGGCAACCGTAAGTTATTTTAGATGGTAACATTGACGTGTTGTGTGTCAATGTCAATTGTCGGATCTCAATTATTATGAAAATTTTGGTTGTCAGAAACTTGCAAAGAAAAAGAAGAACCGAAAATGAGTTTATTTAAAAGCCCTATGGCATACGAATTCTCTTGTTGTATAAATCTCAACTTTTTTAGTCCCTTGTCCCTGAACTCGACTTATGACAAGTTGATAACCCTAGTTTTAAGAGCCAAAACCAAATTTGTTTTCATCTTAGATGGATGTTGAGAATAAAAGTTTATGAAACGGTTACTAAAACAAGGTTTACGATACCACTCTGTCCTTAGCATGCCATCATTGCCATGATGGATTAGCACGTCTAAAAAAGAAATCATATTATCAGCCTCTCTTTCAACCGTAAACTTTAGGTTTTCACATTGGAAGTTAAAGGTGTTTAAAACATTACTTACCTTGTTTTCAGGGACCGATAAAATCAAATCATCTACATATCGTTAATAAAAGGTATGTGAAAAGGTATCTTTTCTTTACAAGTTGTTATAAGTTTTTTATTTTGCTGACCATTTGAGTGCCAAAAATTTGTTTGAAAAAATTACCTTTAAACAAAAAGGTGTTGGAGTCAAATATAAACGAACTTTGAAAATAAGGCTATTATCGAGCACAAGTTAATTAAATCTAGCCCAAGTACTTTCGCTTAAAATAGCATCTTCAGGGGCATTTCGTCAAAATGTGAACTATCCGGCAAGCGTAGAATGTGGAAACATTAAAAATAACATAAATTGTACAAAACACTACACTAAAACTAAGACAAACAGTTTAAAATTACTTCTACGCTACATTCTCTGTCAGTATCTGGAGGGATAATGACAGAATTATCCCTCCAGATTATACTGACAGAGAATGTAGCGTAGAAGTAATTTTAAACTGTTTGTCCTCGTTTTAGTGTAGTGTTTTGTACAATTTATGTTATTTTTAATGTTTCCACATTCTACGCTTGCCGGATAGTTCACATTTTGACGAAATGCCCCTGAAGATGCTATTTTAAGCGAAAGTACTGCTAGATTTAATTAACTTGTGCTCGATAATAGCCTTATTTTCAAAGTTCATTTATTCGAGCATTCAACCTCATTTCATTCAAATATAAATGTTAAAATTCTTATGAAATCATCTAAGTATCATCTTGGTATGCGGAGAGATGCTGTTCCAGTTATTTTTGATGCTGTAAAGAAAAGTATCAAGTGGTAAGTTTGTAAATAGTGACACAACATCTAAACTAATCAATATATAATTATTCGGAACTTTAACATTCTTAATGAAGTTACTAAACGTGAAAGAATCTCTAATATAGAATTCATTGGATGCGTTGTAGGAAATTGTGAAGATATCTGTAAGGTGTTTAGCAAGTTTACTATTAGGAGCATCAATGAAAGAGACAATAGGCCTAATTGATATAGTGGGTTTGTGAACTTTAGGCAGTGTATAAAACCTAGGTGCAAATGCATTGTAAATTTTCAAGGATTTTGTAACTTCTGTTGTTATGGATTTTATCTTATTTATTTATTATTAATATATTATTGTTTATTTATTATTATATTATAGCCGAAAGCTAGACAAGAAGTCAAAAGAGTGTTTTTTACCATCCCAGCCAATTTTCTGACTGCAACCCTACTGTATTGTTTGTTTATATCGACAGTCAGTAATATCCAGTATTTCTTATATATATATATATATATATATATATATTATATATATATATATATATATATATTATATATATATATTATTTGTAGTCTCAGCAAATGGTCTGTGTGAAATAAAACTCTATTTGTTATTTCTCAATATTTCGTCACGATTTTGTGACTTCTTCAGGAGAAAACTGTAAATTTATTGAAAAATGAATATTTCAATACTTACAACTTAAGATTAAAAATTTTAAATTTTGATAACATATCCAATTAGATAAATGACATTTTTTTGATTTAATTTATTTGGGAGTTATGGTAACCGCAATATTTTATAGAGTGAATTCCCATTGTAGAATTTTTAGCAAATAAGTTTTAATAAACAATTACATATTGTGACAGTATTATCCATATAATAAGGTGCAATTTAATTTAATTTAATTTAATTTTAATTGTTTATTAAAACTTATTCGCTAAAAATTGTACAATGGGAATTCACT